CACAGCCTTCTGGCGTGTCAGCCGCTCCTGTTGAGTCCACTGACATCCTGCTGAGAGCTGCATTCATGTTAACGAGAAATCCTGCCTGTTAACGGGGCGACTGCTGCTCTTTAGCCCGTGGCTGCCACTGTTTGCCTTGCTGCTGTCTCCTTCACCAATGCCACCACTTGCGCTGGGCTGCTCTTGAGTTAAGAACTCTCCCATCACCTAGATACAAACCCCAGTTCATGCCAGAGCCGAGGCACACAGACATGTACCACAGAAGGGTCTACAGTGTGTCATTCGTCACGAAAGCACGTCTAATAGCTGTCTTCCTTTTTAGCACCTGAAGAAAACAGTGGATGACCTGCAGGCAAAACTGGCCCTTGCGAAGGGGGAGTATAAGACTGCCTTGAAAAACCTGGAGATGATCTCAGATGAGATTCATGAGAGGAGACGGTCCACTGCCATGGGGCCCCGAGGATGTGGCGTGGGTGCTGAAGGGAGCAGTACCTCTGTGGAAGACCTGGCAGCAAGTAAACCGGAGTCGGACACCATCTCCAGTGAGTACAGAGCGCTCCCACGCCTGGGAACAGCCCCCGGGCATTGTAAGAAGTGCTGAGGTGGAGGCTGCTCTGCAGTTTGAAATGTGATGGCTGCTGTGGAGCTATGGCTGACCTGTTGTGTGTCTCAGGAGGTGACTGTACTCTTTAACAGACAGGTTCCAAGGGGAAGGGACGTGAGCTGAAGTGCATCCGCTGTTCCCTTAGCATCACTGGGTTGTTTGGGGTTTTTTTTTGTACAGTGCTATATGAAAGGAACAAAATTAATGCACTTCAAAGCATGCTTCTCATTTTTAAGGCAGTGATGCTGCTGTCAGTGCCTTGCCTCGGGTGCTCGCAGGCTGTTGCAGGTCGCTCAGACAGGTTGCTGAGGTGGCAGTGCTGTTTGGAAACAGACCTTTTGGATCAAGCACTTGTCTTGCAGCACTGGGCCTGTGGCAGAGGCACAAAAGTTGTGGCTATAGCCGTGCAGAAGGGCCTGACGCTTGCACAGAAGGGCTATAAAGATAAGCTCCTTTGCACGGCAGGATCTTTTGCCAATATAAGATTTCAGCAGAGCATGTGTGCTGCGAACAAGGGAAGCAGAGAAGCAGCATTACGCCAATGCAGCATCCTGAGAGGCTCTGCATGAGAGACATTTCTCTTGGGTGACAGCAGCAAGCACCAAGCAAGCTCTGAGCCTAGGTGACCTCTGCTTTCTTGTGGGACACGGGGACCTTGGGTTGCAAAGCCTGGAACGATCTGTTGTGTTGTGAGCTTGCCTTTGTCCTGGCTCCCTCCTAGACACTTTCTCCCCTTCTCGATGCAGACAGTCTTTTTTTGCTGCCCAGTCCCACAAATCTCAGTTTAATTTGTATTTCATCACCATTTCTGTAGGGAAGAGTCTAGGTCAGGATTTCAGGAGTTCATCATTAAACGGTGATACGTAAGCTACAGTTTTAAGTCGTGCTTTCCTATAGACTGGCTGGTGTCAGTGCTTCTTGCCAAGCAGAGGACTCCTGTAACTGGAAACATCTTTTTTTTTGCCCAACCTTTTTTTTCCTTTCTCCCGCTGGAAAATTACCTGTATTGCTCACCAGATATTGATAAAACAGCAAGTGAGAGGAAAGGCAACTCTGCATTTTTGGATTTGACATGCAAAACAAACCAACAAAACCACAGCAAACTGTCTCTGAGCACAAAGTGCCCTGGGGGGCGCTCAGGACAGCAGATAATGCTGTTACCTGTTGTTTTAAGCCTTTTAGGTCAGTTCTGCAATGTGTAAATACAGTTCTGCAATCTGCAAGTACAGCAGCTGAACATCTCTCCAGTAACCATGGCGGTAGCTGCCTCTATCGGCACCCCTCATGGCTGAGTGAGCCCCAGGCTGCTGGGGTAACAGAACTATGACTTTGAAACTTCTCCTTTGAGCCATTTCGTTAACGCTGCTGCTTTGCTCCTGCTGCTCTCTCAAGGCGGTTCTGAGCCTCTCTAACAATGGCAGGAATTGCAAAGTGTAATTGAAGATAACCTCAGGTCACTGTAAACGTCTTGCTATTTGTGGGACTTTTTCATACCAGTGTGATCCCAGCACTGGGTAGAGGCTGATGCACGTCAAAACCCTTCAGATCCCAGTGGGAATACTTGTGTGCAGAAGGCTTTGGTTCATAGATTCCCGTCTTGCAATGAGCCAAGATTGAAAAATGTTGAATTTTAGCAAAATCTACCCCTGGGCACAAGGAGCAGCAAGTAGTGTAGAGCTTGTCTCGCATGGCATGGCTGGCAGGTGTTGCTGTTCCTCAAAGCAGAATCAGGCCATGTAGGACCCGTGTGTGAAATGCCAGGCTTCAGGCTTTGCAAAAAGGGGGCAGGAGGACAAGAAGTGGCAGGCTGTGGGTGAGCAGTGCATGCCTGTACAGAAGATGCAAACTTGAGAAACTGCGCGGGCAGGTGCAGGTAAGATTTGCTAACTGGAATATTCTTTCAACATTGCAGTGGCTTCAGAAGCGTTTGAGGATGACAACGGCAGCAGCTTTGTATCCGAAGAAGATTCGGAAACTCAGTCGGTGTCCAGCTTCAGCTCTGGTCCTACGAGTCCCTGTGATGTGCCCACTCAGTTTCCTCCCCTGGCGCGACCTGGCAGCTTGGATCTGCCCAGCCCTGTATCCCTCTCCGAGTTTGGGATGATATTTCCTGTGCTGGGCCCCCGAAGCGAATGCAGCGGGGCATCCTCCCCTGAGTGCGAAGCTGAGAGAGGTACGCACAGCTGCATACGCCTTGGGCCAATGGTTTTTCAGCTTTATAAAGGGAGGGAGCAGGAAGACCTTCTCAGCTCCCCTGGGCATATCTCCTGTTCACTGAGCTCTGACCTGCTGGCCTCTCCCTTGGGGAAGGCAGTTCCCACAGTTAATGATGACATCTAAAATGTTTTAATTTTTCTTCTCCTGGCTGGGAAGGTTCCCCAGTTCTGTCTCAGTGGAGGAGTTTGAGGTTTCTCACGAAATAAGTCATCAGTGGGGATTCTGATGGTATGTTTATTTTAAGGAAAACTTGAGTTTAATTTTTTTTTTTAAATTACTATCCTGCTTGCTGAAAATCCTGCTTTCCAGGAAAAAAAAAAAAAAATAACGTGCCAAATGGAACCTCTTGCAGGCTCTGCCAGCCCTTGCGAACAAATTCAGACTTGAGGATTACCGCTGCCCTTGTGTACTCCAACCTGAGGCTGTTCATGCTGTAATTTGCTGAGCACAGCTTGGAAAGCCAACTTCGATTTTGTTAAAGCATCTTGCTTCTGCTCCTATATTTTTTTTCTTTTTGCGTGCTTTGGCAAAGGAAGCTGCAGAAGCACCCACTTGAAGCTTAAGTTGCAGAATGAAATCCAGGTTTAACATCTAGTTTAATCCTTTCTTTGCAGGGGATAGGGCAGAAGGGGCTGAGAACAAGACAAGCGACAGAGCGAACAAGAACAGGAGCAGCAACAGGAGCAGCTACACTGAGGGGCTGGCTTTGGATAACCGCATGAAGCAGCTCTCCCTTCAGTGCATTAAAATCAAAGAAGGAATATGTGCAAGCAGAAAAGCTGCCCAGATCGGCTGAGTCCTTCTTGTGCCCTGTCCTGATTCATGGGAGTATAAATATTTATACATGAACTAAGTGTTTGAAGAACATTGTGCCAATACGATATGCCAAATCTTAAGCGTTTACTCTAAGAATTTAAAACTGCACTAAGAAGTCTAATTGATGTGGAGGGCTGAAGTTTTTGTTCAGTAAATCCTTTGTAGGCTGGACAAGTTATCAAATGTTTAAGCTGTGATGATATTTCACAGACTTTGTAAATCGTTTTGTAGCAGCCTGGCTGAAGCAATAACCAGTAATGTTCCTGTGTAAATTCATGCCTGGAGGGCGTCTGAAATTCAAGCCAGACATTTGCAGAGAGCAGTCTGGCTTCAGTTTTGTAGAGTGAAATGCTCTTTAGATACAGTGGATCTCTTGAGTGGAAGTTATAATATTCTTTAAACATCTGTATTTGTCTGTATGATGATGAAACTGTAGAAATATTTTGTATACAGGAAAGTTGTTGCATGTTTGGGGTCTAAAAGCCTTCACTCTTCCCTTGGTGCTCACAGAAAGGGTAAAGATGAGTCACCCCTATAAAAACCGGTGTTAGGAGACAGACAGAAAGGGGACAGGAACACTTGGCGGTGGGACTGGACAGCCTGGCTGGGACTCTCAGGGGGATTCCAGTGACCAAAAAGAGTTGGTTGACCCCCTGCCCTTCCCCTCCCCTGAGAAGTGAAGTATTATTTTTTAGCACTTTGTCTTGTTTTCTCAAGAAATGAGAGTCATAGATGTTTTCGGGACAGTTATAAGGGATCCGCCCTTGCAATATGCATGAAGAAAAGGAATTGCCAGTGTAGATGGACAATGTGTTCTTAAGCTTCTCTGTAGGTTGTACCGTGTGGGGTTTTATAACTGTTAAAGGGACTTGGGATTTTAGTGTGCCCTAGAGAAAGTGTTCAATAAAACTAGGAGGGGCATGGGCGTGTTTTACCAGCAGCTGTTAGGCAGTAGTTGTGTCTGGTAGTTAGTGGTAGTAAAAATCCTAGGACTCTTAAGTTTTGGTGGCTAAGCATTTCTGAAAGCACCATTTTATCGAAGATGTCAGTTTATATTGTTAATTTGATGTGAATTTTAATATTGCCCAAAGTATTTTCTATTCTGTGTCTTTGCAGTTCCTGTTGTATTTCGTCCCCGCCACAGCTTGTGTATCTATTCTCAAAGTTAATGTAAAATTCTGCACACTACAGTAAACATTTTTGTTTTCCACATTTCGAGTCTGTGCAAGCTAAGTCTTATCTCAAACACTAAGAACTGAGTCTTCTCCTGCAGCAAGTTTAGTCTTTCAATACCCACTTCCAGTCCAAGGTTGCAGCCCGGTGTCACTCTCTTTGGTGTTAGAATCCTGTGCGGGACGTGGACAACTGCTGCTTCCTTCCAGCTTCCTCAGTCCCTGCACCCATGAGTCACTTTTTATTCTGAATTGTGTGAGACCAGAGATCTAGTCAAGTCTTCCAAAATCCTTTCGTATGCAGAAAAGAGGAAGGTATTCTGCTACCTCACACCTCTGTACTCAATGCTGCTGGAATTTGCTATAAGGCCATGCAGAACTGGAGGTAAAAATCTTGTTTTCATAAAAATTAGATTCAACCCACTCTAGCTGTGAGGCTGTAATAGGTTTAAATGTCCATTTACGGCTTCCAAAGACCTGAAGGCTGAACTCTTCCCTTGGTGGCGTTTCCCAGCTCAATAAACACTTAGCAAAGAAGCCGGTGGTTCAGTCTTCTGGTGTGACCAGTAGTTGGGGAAAAGCTGGAATTGACAGTATTAAATATGAAATGAAAAGCTAGAGAAGTGTCACATAGTATTAAATGTTTTTACTTAACCTTTCCTAGTTACATGATTGTCTGTGCTGCATACTGTTAGGTAGTTGTGGCTGAATATCTTATTTTTGCAGACTTGCCAGTCAACCCCTATTACACTTTCCTGGGTTGTTTGGTTGTGGAGTAATTTTTCTTTTTTTTCTTTTTCTTTTTTTTAACCTCATCTAATGTAAAATTTCCTCTCATCTTGCCAGTTCTGTCCAGACACCCAAACTCCCTGCACTTGGACAATGAATTAATTTGATGTTCATAGCAGGATATAAAAATAGTTGTGTGCTGCCTTGTGGATGTCCTGATCGGGTTCAGCTCCCAGCAGGGCAAAACCACTGATTAGGAAGTCCAAGAGGGTGTAGAACCCACCATACCCTTATTTTTACACCCCGCTTCTGCAGTATTTGCTTGAAGATCTTGCTGCAGCCTTCTTCCTTGGGTGACCCCCCAGACGTGGCAGGTAGATCACCCTTCACATGTGCAAGCAAACAGGCAGAACTGCGTGTCTGATCAATTAATGGAAAACTAATTTTATTTTAAACTTCATAAAAGCCATAATTATAAATATGACAAACTGAAATTAATAGACATCACTGTGGAGTACAGTATATGAACAAGCTTTCTCCAGTTCATTTTCTGTTGGAGCTTTCTGCATTATGAAGTGTAAGATGATAGAAGCTGCCTTCGTGGGTATAAAAATAAGCCTCTGGTGTATCAAAGTATATGTGATCCCTTCAGTTGCTTTGACGTGGGAATGCATAAAGCCAATGTTAACTGAGGAATTCTTCTCTTTGGTATTACCAAACAATTTACATGTAATGAAAACCTCTACGTACACAAACTTAATTCTAAATAGCTGGCTGCTCCAACACTGTATAGATGGCACGGCCAAGTGCATAACTACTGTACAAAAAAAAAAAAAAGTTTAATCTAGATATTGGCCTGAGGCTGTGTTAAAATCTAAGGAGCAGTTCACTTTCCAATAATTTTTCTAGATTTGTGGAAAAAAATATAAAGGTATGTATTTGACAGAAAATATCAAAGCAAATCATAAGTGCTTACGTGAACAATTTTCTTCTAAGAAAAAAAAGTGCAAGAAAATTTTGTTGTAAAATTAATTTGCCACAACCAGAGTCTGCAGACTAGAATTTATAAGAATATTTTGTATTACCTTTTAACTACTCCACCTGAGTGTTCTGTCCTATATCTGAAGGGAAACGTACAGTGATGGTATTCTAGCAGCCTACCTCGGTGCGTTATACAGGGCACTGACACTAAGCTTCAACCCTGTGCAGTTCTGGGGATGAGCCCAAGCCGCTGACTGTACGTGCTTCTTTCATCCAGCATAAGCTTTGTGCTTGGGTGAAAAAAACTCCTTCCTGCAGAGTAGAAACCAACTACAGAAGAACAAGCAGCTGTCTGATGAAGCAAATGAAACAAAAGGATCTTGTACGTTCTGGGGAGGTCTACTAGCGGACGTCTATGGGAATAATTTTAGCCCACAGCTACTTCCAGTGCTCCTGTAGCACGTGTACTCAGGTTGCCAATGACCAAATGGCACCTGTGCTCTAAAATAAGATTTAAATATGACCTCTTTGCTTGGAAAACTGCCAAACCAACCTGAAAGGCAAAGAACTTCCTCCAGCTGTTTTAAAAACACCCTCTTCCCCCAACTACCAAATAGAGTGGAATTTTAAGTCTGTCATTTGTAAAAAGAGAAAAACTAATGCATTTTTTAGGATCAGTGAGGCAGTTAGTATTTAAATTAAAAAGAAAAGCTTGGTTAGCTTTAATCTCTCGAGATACAATGTATATAGATCTGCTGGAGGAAGAGCACAGACAGTAACTGGCTTCTAAAAAAAAAAAAAAAAAAAATCTTATTCTGGACTCATCTCCCTTCCATGGTTTTCTTACGAACTTTGACCCTACTCCTGTTGATGGCCCTGGCCACGTGGTCAACTCATTCACTGGTTTCAACTTAAACGAAAGAGGTACCTTTTAAAAGATGTTCTGTATGATAGGCTCAGCAAGTGCATTTGGTTTATTAGGGGGAGAGGTTTAAATG